AAAATTTGGGTGTCACGTGACTGTCCGTATGTACGTCCGTACATCCGTACGTCCGTACGCTAAGCCTCATACCTTGAAAAATAAGAGGGTAGCACCATTACCATCGGTACATCTTTGATATTGGACCTCCATGCTATGATTAATTGTCAGCTGTCAAAACAAGGTATCCGCTCACCAGTATCATGTGATCATATGGTGGGCTCAGGTTAAGAGTTCGCATGTCTTTTGAAAGTTGACCGCCGACGAGGTACTGTTTTTTCTTTTTGGAGCTCAATTTGAGTTTTCTAAAATAATTTGTTTGTACTGGCAAACTCTTTTTCAGTTTTGCTCAAAGAAGGTGTGCCTAAGAATGAAGAATTAGAAAGACTGGCTACGAGTATCGACGACAAGTGGATCCAACTTGGTCGTCGATTAAAACTCGAGGAACCATTTCTTCAAGCCCTATGTAGAAATTTTGATTTACACCATGAAAGGGTGTTTCGGATACTGTTATATTGGAAAGAACAGCGCGGTTCTGCCGCAACATATAAGTCTTTATCTGATGTTTTAAAGCACAAGCTGGTGAAACGAAAAGACTTGGCGGAGAAGTATTGCTTCAAGCAACAGTAATCATGCCAGTAAATATGGCCGTATGTGACATAGTGTATTGTTATTAGTGTAAGTATGTAGTATTGTAAGTAATGCATTTTATTGTACTGTTAACAAAATAAAATGTCGAAAAAAAAATATGGAGAAACAACCGTTATTTTATTTTTATAGAAAACTTGGTGTATGCGAAGCATACTTCTTTGTGTCAGTATTGAAAATATTTGCGTAAGACGTGATAAAATACATTTCAGACGTTATAGTTGTGATGTTAAATGTACATATGATAAAATTCATCTCAGACGTTTTAGTTATGATGTAAAATGTCATGGTCATGGGTTATGGGCTTAATTCCTGTCGGGTACTCAGATTTTTTCTGTCCCACTGCACGCTCTAGTCATGATGATCAGATCATTTTTCACATTTCATTACCGAGCTTAAAATTCACCATCTTTATTCACTTATCACACTCACGATGACTTCGACAATGCTGATCCTAGCAGTATGCAGGACGCACGTCACATATGAACTCAGTTAAATGGTTCTGCTCCCCATGATTTCTCGTAGTTCTGTGGATAGAGCGCCCGGTCGGTGTTGAGGAGGTCATGGGTTCGATTCCTGTCGGGAACGTTAACTCAGATTTTTTCTTTGTCCCACGCTCCTGTAATGTTAATTAGTTCACTTTTCACATTTCATTTCTGAGCTTAAAATTCATGATCTCTATTCACTTATGAACTATACCTTATCAATCAACGTCCTGACTGAAATGTCCATCGCACTGATCAGTCTAAATCCCGAGGGAGACCGCCTCTTGTCCGCCTGAGAGTGCTAGAATGCCTGCAGTCTGCTGTTGTCTCGAACTCGCCAACGCAATACAGGACTAGAGACGCCCAAACTCCTTCTCGTCCATAGCGCCATTTTGCGTTCTCGGAGTCGCGGAAGTAAATGCTCGGCGGACCGCTAACTTTCTAGAGGGCAGCTGACATTTAAGGTTGACATAGTTGTGGTTGCTAAGCTCCAACAAAACAAGTCAGGGAGCGAGTATATTGTAGGGGGCGGTCGCCCTTTTAAGAGCTGCATTTATCAATGTGTAGCGTAATAATCTACACCTACTTTGACCTGAGCGTATTATGTGTTTCTCGGTAAATGCATCAGTAACGCATTTAAGCAGAAACTACAGTGCAGGTAGATTCATGTAGTTTTAAATAATAAGATAAAATTAGATGCGTAGCATCTTTTACTCAGTGTAAACCGCCAGAAGTAGTATAAAACAAAGTGACAATTTCCAGTAAAGGTTGCGGAGGTATTAGTTTTTCTGGCTTTTAATTCAAAAGGCAGTTGACGATTGGAAAGGTTTACAGCATTTTCGTCCCCAGAGGCCCTATTCCTATCGGTCAGCACCGAGAATGGTCCAACACCGGAAGTCTGCCATGCACGGTCTTCCTGTCAACTCTGGCAAATCTGATTGGCTAGGAATACGAAACGAGTGGTAACGAGATTGGGCCTCCATCCGTTTTTGTGTTTTATTTGTGTGCTTATGTTTCCAGCGTTTGCTTGGTGAGCCCAAGTAGCACGGAGGACAAAGAACACAACGGCCAGGCATTTCAGTCGTATTCTTCGCTAGTCGCAAAGCGGGTCGCGAAGCTTAGAATGATGGAGACAAACAAAGAGAAGTGCTCTTCTCTGACTCCTCGGCTGTAATTCATATAAATTTTATAAGCCGACTGGGAGGTCCGTATAAAAATGCTGTCTGAGGACGAACCAGTACATAGCAAGGGCGCGCGCGAAAACTGTGTTCGCCACCTTAATCTTATAGGTAGTTTGGTTTTATCAACTGGGTTGATAATATGAATTAATATTGGCCACCGTAAAGAGATTCGAATCTCTTTACGGTGGACAATTCAAATTATCAACCCAGTTGATAAAACCAAATTATCTTGTCATACTCCTCACCGACACAGCACTATAGTTTCTTTAGAACCTTACTCCCCCTTAATCTTATAGGCCCTATCAACAAATGCGACCCACTTTGTAAGAGTGTGCGGTAAAGCTGGGAAATAATTGGCTAATAACCCAGTGAAGGTTTTATTTTATTACCATCATTTTTATTGGTAAACTGTTTGAGCGATCAATAGTCCCATGTTTAGTTGCCATTCGATATATTCGTCGGGGATCATTTCAGGGCTGACACAAAGAAAAATTAGGATCATTTCGGGGTCGAGATCACCTCGGGGGCTGTACAGTTTCCCCCAGCATTTTCAGCTCCATTTGTCATCTAAAAATACAGGCATTCCTTGTTTTAGGATTCCGGGCCTTGGTTTTCGGAATTCCGGGCTTCTGGGTTTCCGGCACTCCTTCTATTACAGTTTTAGGAGACTTGCACATTGACATGAACTGTTTAACGCAGCACTTTTAGAGAAAACGGAAGGAATACTATTCAAACGTTATTACCCTACCTTTTGGTCTCAATGTTGTGGAAACTGTCCGTACAGAAGAGTAAACATTACAAGAAAACAACCTTCTTGAAACAGAAAACATGGCCGCCACTGCCTCTGCCACAGTGATTTGGGTATCCCATGTTCAGTGGGTACCCCCAGTAGGGATACCCAAAACAATGAAAGCGTTAAATACCACAGACTGGGGCAAGTGAAATCATCCATAATTCTACTCAAAAACCATTTATCTTCTTACGAATCTTTGTCTTAATAACTGAAAGCTTTCTTAATCTTGATATAAACACATAACGTCGCTGAAAACAGTCGCAATTTATAACAGACTGCCTGATCCGAGTCTGCAATATAACGACGTACAAAACCGATTCACGCGCTACAGTTCCTTGTATGAACATGCGCTTGCTGTCTATGGATAACCCTTGAAATGGACGTTATAAATATAAATAAATAAATATAAATAAAGTAGACAAGGCTTAAATCTTCGGAAAAGGGAAGCAAATAAAAGTAGGGATACCCAAATCCCTAGTGATTTGTGTATCCCCTTCCTAAGTGTTGGCTTGTGGTCATTTCTTTACTTCAGGGTAGCGCCAAATCGACCGTTGTTAAAAAGGGAAACTAAACGCACAAAGAGAAAAGGCATTCAAGGGAGGAAAGGACTAGAAATTCCAAAATGTAAGGGATACTTAAATCCCTAGTGATATGGGTAACCCGTTCCAGAGAGTTTGTTTGTCCTCGTTTCTTTAACTCATGCCAGGGTAGCCGAACCGACCGAAGATTAAAAGGTAAAGCAAACTTACAGAGACGAAAGCCATTCTAATGAGGAAAGGACTAACTGAAAATTGTCAACATATAAGGGATAACCAAATCTCTAGTGATACGGGTATTCCCTTCCAGAGAGTTCGTTAGGTATCTTTTCTTTAATTCAGGGTAGCCGAATCGACCGAAGACGAGAAGGAAAAGCAAACTTGCAAACTGACGAAAGTCATTCCAGGGAAAAAAGGACTAGAAATGCTAAATTGCAAGGGATACCTAAATCCCTAGTAATATCGGGGTATCCCCTTCAAATATGTTAATTTGTTATCGTTTCTTTTCAGCTACGTATTGTGTTTATATCAAGCTCTACAACGCTTTAATTTCTTGAGACAAAGCTTCGTAAGAAGATGATTAGGTTTTGAGCAGACTTGTGGACGATTTCACTTGCCCCAGTTTTAAGCTTTCAGTGTTTTGGTTATCCCCAGTGGGGATACTTAAGACACTAGGGATTTGGGTTCGGCCGTACCCAAAACTCGAGGATACGCAAATCACTGTGACACCGCGACTGAGCATGCGGTCAGCGGCTTGCCGCCACTGAACATGAACCACGGATCCAAGTCACGTGATGCATTTCGGCGGGAACTGGAAAAAGATAGACTTTCTGGAGAATAGCAGATCGAAGGGGTTGCTGATTTCTCAGGATTAGGGTTATTCCAAAGTAGTAAGTATGGTAGCTTTGTTATGAATGTTCTTATGTCCGTTTAGATAAACAGGGTCAGAGCCACTTTGATTGACGATTGACTCATTCAGCTGATCTAGCAAAGCTCTTCAAATTACATGTAAGATGCAAGTTCGAGAATTGACTTCAGTGCTTCGATGATTTCGAGTAGTTAAATTAGTCATTTCATGTTCAGTTATTAAAATCTTTCTAGATATTCATGTATAATTATGAACAGCACACCAGTGAATGAAGCCCGGCATAGCCAATCGAACCCAAAAATATTTGGGCAATCGAAGTCAATCAAACGTTAATTTGATTTCCGAACTCTTGCGTTTTGTAAAACTGTGGTTGAAAATCAGTAACAAGTCTTTCGAGGCTCGAGCTACTTCCAAAGGGGGTACTATGTTCCCTTGATCCCTTGAAAATTGCATTTTTTTCTTCCTTGTTCCCCATAATAAATTCCATGTTCCCATAGACTTTGTTGTCAAAGTTTCCTTTAGTAGTAGAGATACCCTTGCTTCCTCAAATTCATTCCAAAAATATATCTTGTTCCCTGGAGATAACGTGTTTAAGTTCCCTAGTTCCCCCAAAGACCTGGACGACCCTTACTTTGGTAGGACACATGTTTTTTTGTGTGTGTTTTTGAGACCACATAATGCATCATTTTCTGTTTCTGCCCATAACATCTTTGTTCAAGTGAATTTATTCACTGAAGTTCGGTTACACAGTTGCACATAATCCATTGGATTGTGCTTGATTTTGAGTTTGGTTGCCAAACTCAATTGGTTTGGAAATCATACTCACCCAAAGTTCAGTGTTTGATTTTGATTTGTAATCAAAGGGCGTGTTGAAAGAAGCCCACAAAAGAGGGCTGAATGTGCATGTAAGTTGTCTTAATTTGACTTATTAAAAAAAATTAAATTCTAGTCATCTGGTGAAAGAATAAAAATTAAATCATAATTTTGATGCTTTCTTTTTGTAGACATGATATGGTTGGTAAAAACAAGGGATCAAATTCCTGCAAAAGAAAGGGAGGTAAGACAAGCATGTTCTCTCTAGCTAGTGTACACTCACCAAAAAGGCATTTGCAACACGACGAGAAAGTGACCTATGTCTTTAGCTTTTAATTTTTTTTTTTTCAATTTTTTTTTTTTTCGCCTTTCCTTTTTCTCCTTTTGACCTTCTACTGGTCTTGCTTCCAGTTGAAGAATTGCCAAGAAAGCATCATCAAGACAGGAAATTCTTCGCAGAGAGTAGCCAAGTTTAAATGAGGGAAATTTTGGTCCGAGTTTTTCACTCATATTTCTAAGCATTTTTATACATATTCATGCTCAAGTGCCCCAATTTTATAACAGTGTCCCCAATTATGTAGTCACCTAGCTAAATACCCCGACACTTAATGATGATGATAGTAATGTATGCATCCTCCATGAGACTGTGTGTGATTAAATGCAAGTGCTCCTGAAGAAACTGCAGCAAAGAAAACAAAGACTGAAACAAAAATATCCAAGGAAGCTAAAACAAGGAAAGGTGACTATAATTGATTACGCCTTTTTACAGGGGAGCAGGGATGGTGTAGTGGTGTGAGCACTTGCCTCACAACAGTGTGGCCTGGGTTTGATTCTGACCAGGTGCCACATGTGGGTTGAGATTGTTGTTGGTTCTTGTTTTGCTCAGAAGGCTTTCATTTCTCTGGAAACTCTTTTTCTCCTCTCTCCAGGACAACCAACATTTTCAAATTCCAATTTGACCAGAATAGATCAAGATGACCTAGATGTACAATAAAAGCAGCTAAGGCTTATGTGGCTTTGACTCTAAATATTGTAATACATTTTAATTTTTCTTAAGAAACTTTTTGCACTGTTGAAACTCATTACAGTGCCTGGAGGCCTAACACTACAGTCATCAAAATTGTGAAATGTCCTGATGCTTTCCATTACAATTTATCATGTTTGGTAATTGCAATTCTTTGATTCCATCTCAACTGACTGCAGCTGTTAGCAAGAAGGACAAGGGAAATCATCAAGCTAAAGTTGGCAACCAGAAGAAAAAAGGTGACTTTGATTGATTACTGTAAATTTTCAACATGTAACCCACTGTCCCTCTATGCGGGGCCAATTGCGACTGCCCCTCTGTTCATGTACTATTATTGTGAAAAAAGTATGACTTGAAATGCTTTTCCGATTTACACAAAATCAAACTATAGAATTTCTTTAATCTTGCATATTCCACTTGCCATATTCCAAAGAAAAGACACTCAACATGGAATGTTATTGTGAAGCTAGGAAAAAGCCAATTAGGCATCAGAGAACTAAACCACAAACAGCGCCAGTAGTTTGTGGTTTTTTAGGTTTGCTCACATGTCATGAACTTTATTGTGATTGGTCAGTACGCAATAAACCTGTCTGAATTGAATCAAGGGTTTGCGGTTTTTTGACTTGCATAGTCAAAATTGATCCTAGTGCATAAGTACTTCTGTGACTGTCTAACTCATGTTGTTCCTGTTTAGCTAGTTGCTCTCTGATTTCTTTTGATACTTATAGTTCATTTTGTGAGTGCCAAAAACTCCATAAAACTTTTCAATATCTTTTTTTGTATTTCAGAAAATTTGCCAAGCCACATGAATACTAAATCCAACAGATGTACATCAAGTTTGAAAAGACATCTCAAAGTTCACAGTGGCAACAAATGCTACAAATGCACTCAGTGTAAGAAATGTTTTAACTACTCATGGAATTTGAAAAGACACCTAAGGATTCACAGTGGTGAGAAACCCTACAAATGTACTCAGTGTAAGAAATGCTTTAACTCCTCATGGAATTTGAAAACACACCTAAGGATTCACAGTGGTGAGAAACCCTACAAATGCACTCAGTGTAAGAAATGCTTTAACTCCTCATGGAATTTGAAAACACACCTAAGGATTCACAGTGGTGAGAAACCCTACAAATGCACTCAGTGTAAGAAATGTTTTAACAGCTCATCCAATTTGAAAACACACGTAAGGATTCACAGTGGTGAGAAACCCTACAAATGCACTCAGTGTAAGAAATGTTTTAACAGCTCATCGCATTTGAAAACACACCTAAGGATTCACAGTGGTGAGAAACCCTACAAATGCACTCAGTGTGACAAATGTTTTAACCAATCATCAGTGTTAAAACAACATATGAGGATTCACAGTGGTGAGAAAGGCTTCAAATGCAACCAATGCCGTAAATGCTTCAAGTATAATAAGACTTTAAAAAGACACAGATGCAGCAAACGTTCCACTGAAGACAGAGAAAATTTCACCTGCTGGATGTGTGGAGAATACTGTTATAATGTATGCGGGATTCTCTTTCACATGTCTGAACATGGTATGCGGAAATCTTGATACTCAGGAAAGTTGGGGTATACTCCTGTTTGAAAACAAAATGTCAAATAGGAATTTATGTGATTAATGATCATGACTGGTAGCATTCACAGTGGACCAGTACCTTACCAGATTTTTATTAGCTACTATCTAAATCAATTACAGGACTGGTTTGAGAATTCTTAAAATCCCAGACTACATTAGTTTTTATGCATTGTTAGTTTCTGTTTTTAATCTTTGTATTTTTCTATTTTGTTATTGAAGTTAAATGTACATTTTGATTTAAGAGGCTTTTTTTCAAGAATTTACCCTTGACACTCAGCCAGTCAGTCACATAGCATATGAACTATCTTGGTAGTTGGAAAGTTGGGATATTAGATTAGCTACCTTAACATTAGCCTCCAACGCAGACACTTATTGGGCTCATCATGGTGTGATGAAGAGATTGCTGTTGTGCAGTAAAATATTACTGTAGGTACAAAGTTAAGGAAGATGTTACTTTGTAGTAGTTGATATTGCAATTATTTGGCTGCTTCGGTAAGTTTTCAAGACTAGTGTTATATTGCATTATGAGTGCTCAAACTGGGCCACATGGGCCAAATAGCTATTTTTAACTTTGTTCACTTGGGCAGAGTTAATTATGCAATCAAAACATTAATTGAGAACACAGGCTGGCGATATCTTTTTTTTGTAAATGAACCACTGGCCTTGAAGAATATAAACACGAAGTTGTTGATCTTTCGGGAAACAATGTCAATGTTTTTATTAATTAGTTTTGATCTTATTTTTGAAACAGTTTTAGACTTGGTCAGCCAATAGAATGTTACAGGTAAGAGTTTCACATGTAAAATTCCCACAAAGGAAACAAAACACCCAAGTGAGATAGAATCCAAAGGGTGTGGACTGATGAACAATCAACACAATTTGTATATATAAAAATTATCTTATCGTCGTGAAACCATCAGTCATATAATCAACAACAAGTTTATTGATTGGATTATAATTCGGTCTGAGACATACACTTATATATATTACCATTATCATTTAGGATCAAAACTAATGAATCATCAAATGACCAAGTTTTCCAAGAGGTAGCCAACTTCTTGCAACTTTGTTGGGTTTCAAACTTTGTTGTCGAACTGTATTGTTTGCATTCTTTGATTTCAGTGGTTTGTTTCCACAAAAAGACAACATCCTTTGCTCTTGCTGATGTTCCAAGTGCCCTGGTTGTTTTTCACTGGTATTGAATTATGTCGCATTGAATACTTTGTATTAACCAGGACTTAATAACTTTTGGTTAATTAGAGAAATTGTGTTTCAGCTGCTAGACACAAACGGCTGTATCATGTTTGATTCACATGTCTCTTTGTAATAATTAAATGACCAGAGAAGGCAGGTTAACATTCTGTCTTCTGGCTTGTTTCGTTTTCTTCTTTCCTTGGGTGAAACTTCCGACTGGCTTCCCGTGGTCACACTGCATCTCTTAGGGATGGTTTGTAACATTCAAAGCCTCCAAGCGAGAGCAAAACATCCTGACTCGTCCCAAGGACGTTATTGTAGAAAGGACTTAGCTAGTCGTCTGGTGTAAAATTATTTCCTTAGAAAAAAAAGCATGTTATCGCTTAACCGTAGATAAAAGTTTTTGTTGAAATTCCCTCAGCTCTTATTGTGAGCGCAACGGGCCACACTTGAAGGGTTTAAGGGCGGCAACTGTTGAAATAATTTTATTTTTTGTCGCAGTGGGATTTGGAATATGGTTACCAACCAAGTCAAATCGACATTTCTAACGGCCAACAATCACCCTGCTCCAGCGTGATTGATTGATTGATTGATTGATTGATTGATTGATTGATTGATTGATTGATTGATTGATTGATTGATTGATTGATTGATTGATTGATTGATTGGACCACGAACAAAGTCATTTTCTTTACTTTCAAATTCTTGCTGTCATTTGTTGAAATTTCTCGGCTGGCTCTGGTTTAAGTCGTTACACAGAAAAACGTAACATTGTTTATCAGGCGTTAATTCAAGGACTGGCGTTTAAAAACAATATGAAGCCCCGGACACAAGGTGCAACATTTGGAACATTGTTTTGCGCAAATTTTTTTTTTTGCTCAATCCCTGGAATTGTTACGCACAATATTGCAGAAGTAGAATTAGATTCTACTAGTGCAAGTGTAGTTGCAAGTCTTGTTTTCCCCTTCAATATTGCACGCAGCCATTTCAGTATGGACACAAGATGTAATTGATAGGGATATTGGGCACAATGTTGCATCGTGTGTCTGGGCCTTCATTATATAATCGTAATGTTTGTGAATGCCTTCTGTCATGTGATATCGGGAAAACAAGTGCAAAAAAGACACTAACTGACTCGTCCCCAGGAAATGCGAGAAACTCCTAGCACGTGAAAAAGGTAGCCTGCATAGCTCGGCGGTTTAAGGTGGCCGAACATAGTTTTCGCGCGCGCTTTTGCCGATGCAATTCAGCGCGCGCACAAGGATTGAAAAACAAACATGCCTTCAATAGAGTGATTATTTTATTTACTCAACACCCGCACTATATGCGCTAGTTTTCTCCATTATTGAACGCAGTGTATTGATGCCTTTAGTCTTTTATTACAAAGCTATGTTAGAAAAGGTAACGACGCAAAGAACCCAGCAATTCTCAG